CGCGTCTTCGGCAGACGCGAAGCACTTTAAAATTGGAAACATTCCTTTCTTAACATGAAAGAACTGAATTTTCTTTGTTGCAACATTTAATGATAAACCAGCATGAGCTAGCAATACAACATTTTCAATTTCGTTATTATTAACAAGAAGTTTAATTTTCTGAAAAATAAAAATTGTAATAATCTATTAACCGGTTTACTTGAAATTCACGGAATTGCTATTTATTTTGTACAGTATACACATTTCAAGTGAACGAGCTAAAAAACCTGGTCAAGCACTTGTGACGTATGTGGTATTTCTTTGATCCGTCCAATGCTTGATATGTTTTACTTACATTAATGTGTTCTACTTATGTGTATTATTTATTTATTTTTCTTCGGTTTGCTCTATGAATTTGCATATAAATATTCAGATATATTTTACCTTTCGGAAGATATGCCGTGTTTCCGTTCGACTTCCTAATCTCAGGGTTATTTTAATATCGATAGGATCTTTTTCCGCGGTTTTCCGTAACATGTTGGGTTTCAATCGAGTCTGGCCGCACGCCAACCTGTGTTGGGTTATTAAATGGCATTACGTACGGGGGCGAGGTTATTTTTAAGTGGCCGGGGGTAATTAATTCCTAAAAGAAAAGGTAATTAAGCGATATGCACCTGTTGGCAGTAGCCGGGCCGGCCGGCTGGTCACGAAACTTCGAACACGTAGTCGTGACACGGTGCGCGGACTGCTTTAAATTATTTTTCTGCCAGGTCATTGGCGTTGTTTCGTCCGAAATATTCTCTACGGCGAGCGTCAAACTTACACATGTACAGGGCGTCCCAGAATACACAATGTTCTTCTGGGGGTGTGAAAGAAGGTGAAAGCCTGAGTCGAAAATATATTTTCTTCTTTTTCCTCCAACTGTAATTAACAAAGTTATTAATGAAAGGAGTAGTCCAATGCCTTGTCGAGCATAACTGCCACTCAGTGCTTTGCACTGGTACGAGATTCCACTTTTACGATGGCATTGAAATTTTCGCTTATTTAATGAAATAAGTGAATTACCTATCATCCACGTGATGAGTGAGTTGATTAATTCCAGTTTCAGTAAACAAAACCGTAAGAAATTGATTACAAAATATTATAAAGTCGAAGACTGCGCAGTGGGGCCTCGGGTTATTGTACATGACACTTGTGAGCGACATGCCATTGGTCTGTTATCGTTAATTACTTTGTTAATAATGATTGGAGCAAGAACTGTAAGAGGAAGCTGTCACTCAGAATTTTATCCGTTTTTATATGTATAAAGAAAACTCGTTTGTTCTGTGATACTCTGTGAATGCTCTCGGTGCGCATGAATTTTTATGAAATTTTACGCAGTGATGGAACAACGTTTTACGAGGGAGGACTTTTACGCTGCGCTTTCGGGTGGATACGGTTCTCGTTCTGGTCTGATATAATATTTTCGATGCCATTTAACCGTAAATTGTTGAATTTATTGACTCGCTAAACGTCATGTATTTTTATATCTTTAAAATGCACCGACGTGACGGTTTAACGCAAACTGTTAAATCACAAAATGGAAAAAAAACATTGCGCTTGATAAATCCATTCATTTCTCTCTCTTCATAGATGCATGTACTTTTCTTTATCGAGCGACCTGCAGAATTGATTAAAAAATGTAGCACAAGAAGAGAATCGATTCGGATCGAATACGGAACGCCACCACCCGTTATAGTTGTGTTCTTTCGGGTTTGCAAAATTAGCATTTCTCAGAATTGTTGCATGTTCATTTGACCTGTTAAAATATCTAGAGGAAGTATCAAATGCAATATATGTATGCCTGTTGGCATGTAAAAATTGATATTAGGATCTCACATTGAATAGTTACTACAACGAATAATAATGTGTAATTTCGTGGTTCTGTTGTTAACGTAATTAAAATTTGGTTTAGAATAACACGGAAATTCTTCATTATAAGTCAAATAGATTATGTAGAGATTAAAAAAAGGACAATGCATATTAAATATTTGGCGTTCATAGAATACAAATAAAAGATATTAATTTAAAAACATAGTTAATATTATGAACCTAAACATAATATTATACACTCTAAAGGAGGGTTAAAAGCGTCCTATTAGTATGACCTAATCGATGCCGGTCAAGGATTGTCGTTCACACCCTTTGAAAGGTGGAAGAACCCATTTCTGGCTCGCAAAGTGTTAACGAGAACAATTTTTCGCATGATAGAATAAATACGGCCGATTATCGTCGTGCGACGACGTTTCGGATTACACACCATGCTGGGGTTCTACGCTCGCGTGTGTACTATGGCAACTTTCGTGAAGCCATACCTTTTATATCCTGTAGTTAACCTTAGGCCAGTTTACTACCCGATAGCTGTTACATGCCAGCATAGTGTCTGGCATTTATTAGTACAGATCATTGCTTCAAATCTACGTTAGTTCGTTAGTACTTTGCCTCACTATGTACTATGATTCTACCATCACGTCGCATCGTACACACCCACGGGAATGAACACGAACTCTCGATCAGCTTGCCTGTGAATAGGGTTGTTTTACGCACGGGTCGTTTCGTGACCTTTTCACCGGGACTGTATTAAAGAACGATTTACGATAGGAACTGTTCAGGTTCACTTGATCCGATAACTTTCCAATTTTTTACTTCCACTTCTATTTGTCAAACATTTAGTATAATTTGATATTAAAAGACAAATCGTTCCGAAATCTTTTTTAATCTGTTTATAAAAATACTACTGGCTTTACAGTTTAAACTATGTATTCAAATATCCCGTTGTTCTTGAGTCATTCAGATCGATATTATAACTTACAGGTAAACAACGCTTGGTCTGTTTGACCTGAAAATCTGTTTGAATCTTGTTAAGTTTTATTCGGGCCGGTATGACTGGTTGGTCGATGAAATATGTTGGATCAGCAACATCGTTTTAGATTTCTGCAAGTGTAATTGTGTAAGCTATCTTATAATTTTCAACAATTCATGCCAGAATAGTGTACAACTGGAAATAATGCTTAATACGAACTAACAAATCTTCACTGTTTAAACAGTAAAATATCTATAATACCTTTAGGTAAATGTATAAATTCTATTAGATCTTAAAGTTCAAAAGGTTAACCGTGTTTGTCTATTGATTATTATATTCAATTTCGTTTGAAGCTTCTGTACAAAACTTAAGTACAGAAGTTGAATATTTCATAGTAAATTTACACCTACTATAAGACGAGTATACCTCTCTCTCAGGCGACATCGATATGATAGATGTGTATGTTGCGTAGGATTGTCTATACATAGACTTCCTTCAAAGTCCGTTTCTGATGGGCATCAAACATCATAAGTAAAGCGATCGGAGAAGCAGATATCTGATATTCGTAACTATGAAGAACTGAAGAATTATTAATCCGTCTTGTGTAAATGTTTCTTCGGAACTCTCGTTGTGTAAAAGTGGATCGACCAGCATGTTTTCTTCATAAATAAGTAATACGATTATACAATATTTCTAGATAGATTTTGCCCGGACACGAATGATTCCTCTTTCACACAGTAAAATAAACGTTTTTGTGGCTCAATTTGTGTGAAGCAAAGTATTAATTCTTCTGCTGAATTCAACGTTAGCTTCATTTCTTTTTTATGGACAATATTTGGTCAAGTGCGTTTCGCGTTATTGATGCTCTTGCCCAGAAGAAATTGAATTTCCTTTTCGTGTTCCAATAGTCTGATCGAAATGTGTGTACATGTATTCATACGTGTACAGTGCTGTCTGTCTACGCGTTCGGTAAATGCGTACATATATGGAAGCCGTTTCAAGGCAGAGGCTCATTATCGCTCAAGTGTCACATGTGAATTGCGCCGTGAATTGATTTATTCAGATAGTGGATGCTCAATGGAAAATCGTGGAGCGTTGAAATAAAATTTACCAGCCAGTCTGCTTCAATTCGCATGTACACGTGTTGTCAACATCAGGATGCATTTAAAAGCAGGCGCTTACTTTTATGTTAAAAAATAGCCGTACTATTGTTTAACAAGTTTTTATAAAATCAGAGGTTTCTTCACTGATCTACACGATTCGAAAGCCTACAATTAGGTAATCAGGATAAAAAGAATGTCGCGTATAAACTGTGTAATATAATTTATTGAGAACTTATTAATATGTACGAATTAAATGACATCGATAAAAATTCATTGTTTCACTCTGTTGCACAGTGTGTATATTTTCACGATTAATTTTAATTTTTTTTTTTAATTCGTAAAATATAAGCTTGTCCTTTTAAAGTCCTTCGTAAATAAAAGTCTAAAGGTGCAAGGTCAGGGGGCTGGTCACTTTTTTATTTACCCCATACTATGTATGTACATATATTTCTGATACCTTTTAGAATATTAAGGTGGCATTTTTCATTAAATAAATTAAATCAATCGTCTGATGGGTGTTTTGCGATAATAAATATATGTCATTTCAATTTTTCACGTCAATGTCCACTATTCTAAATAACAATCGTAGTATTACGTCCAAACGAAGCGATTCAACTTTGCGTGCTAACAAATTGAAACAATTAAAAAAACGCTGCACTGAATATTATTGGGCAAATGTATATTTATTTAGTGGGTGTTAATTCCGTATCCTGCCCACCGTATCGAATCAACGAAATTTCAGTCTCGAACAAAATGAAATTACATACTTATTGACACGATGCATTTAAGACAAATATGTGGAATAACCCAGATTCGTTTTAATTATTCCGAAAGTCCGGCTGTATTCGCACGGTACACTCAACACACTTGTGCTTTTATTCGAGCCCCTGGGCGATTTAATTCCATTTATGGAGCCTCGTCTGCACATCGTACGCATCTGATACGTTCAAATTAAGTGATTCGCGGGAATAATCTGTTTATTGATGTTGTCTCCTGTTATCTGCTTACTGTAAATAAACGACAAAAATTAATTAGCCCGATCGTTTTAACTGATTTCTTTATTTTTTCTGTTACAGTGAAAAAGGCGCGGTTCGTCTGCGAGGAAGGTTTGTATTTCCGTACCAGTAAGGATCTTAACTTCCTAGGATAACTTTTCGTTTCTGATAGTGTGACCCTTACACAAGTGTGGCACACTAGTTCGCGAGTAAATTCATAAATAATACATCGTCGTCCTCCGAATGGGTGTGAAATTGAAACGATATCTTAACGATAACAAAGTTTTTTCTCACGCTCCATTTCCGACGCCCACGCAAAAATTTGTAGCATTCGGAAGTTAAAGGTTATCATGATGTTACGCTCGCATCGAAATAATTTTTCCTGGACATCTTCCAGAGTCTTTGGCATGAATTCATCTCAATTAATCGTTAGCATTAATCATGCAATAACCCTTACTTTAATTCGTAATAATGTGTAACGATTCATTAACGTGCAATTTAACGCTTTTCTATATACCTACGTGATCATTGCTAATACCGTATCATAATTGAAAACACAAGTTCTATCAGGCTTTCGTATGCACAGTGTTTGTTTGTCTTCCGATTGTCGTAACTTACTATTAGGTTCGAACGGTTTACGTTGTGTCGTGTTTCACGTGATAGTTCTCTTGCGATTATTCAGTCCAGAGACTTTCCAGTAATTTTGCATTCGTATTGCATATCTTTTTTGTCTCCAACAAACAACGCCAGGTCTAAAGCTACATAATTAACATCCTTACTTTTCATGTACCATGGGTTAGAATAAAAGGTATGATTTACTTTGATACTTGTACAGATATGTTGGATAAGTTAAAAGTTGATTGAATGTTGTAATACTAATCAATGTAAATCTTTATAATACTGTGAAATCAATTTTTCGGATATTCGTGATTTAGCAGCATAAATTCGAAATTATGAAAACAGATGCTCGTATTTTAAATGACTTAATACTAAACTTGCAAACATCGTATACATTCATGACACTCAAATAGGGAAGTCATCCTTATGCTTACTTCGAAAATGAACGAAGATTTATTCGAAGCATTACGATGACAGGCAATGTATCATGCAAATCAGACTAAAACATTCTTTTCCTCTTACCGGTGGAAATCCGACGATTTACAACGGAATGAAACGATAATAAGAGTTCCAGTTACGCGAAAGCTTTTGTCCCCCGTAAAGCTCGAGCGCCTAGCTCTTCAACTGTCATTAAATAACTCGCTGGACAGTAATTACATCAAGTGTAATTAAATATTCACCGATAGTGGAAATTGTTTTGTATACCAGGATAATCAAAACATTTTCCACTGTAAGTACCAGCGTACAATTGTACAACCTCTTACACACAGCACGTCGCGCGGCCGCCGACTATAGTCGGTGTCCGTAGCGAAAGGGTTAAAAATCCTATTTCCATATAAATTAATTATTTTATTTCGCTTATTTTGCATTTCAATATTATTTATTCGTTGTGTAAAATATCGTGGCATCCTTTAAAATTTTAGACTTAAAAGATTTGACTTTTCGTGAACAATTTGTCGTTTCAAAGATTCAAAGGATATTATGTAATCTCTTTTCTAAAAAATTTCGTTTGTCACAACATTTTCATCGCGCGTAGAACAGATCATAGAAATACGATCGTGCTTGATCGTACGCGTTGTAAAGCCGAGATTTTTTTTCACGAGTTATCGAAAGCTCGCAGCCAAAAATGTTCTGTACACGCATACACGGCACAGACAACCTGGGGATCGTGCGAGGAGCTTATATAGAATATAAAGGTTTACGGTTCGTCTGCACCGTTTTCCAGACACACTATTCTCGGTAAATTGAGAAACGATCGGACTTCCTCCGAGAGTACATTGCGATTCTCTCCCCAGCTAGGCATGTATGTACATGTGCGTCCTGACCGGTTATCGATTTAACGTTAGCTTATGTTTTCCGTCGCTATTGGTCGTTAAACCAGTTCAGCTCGAAAAGAGAGTTATCGACGAAATATTGTCGCAGGACGATAATGGTGTTCGTTTCTGTCTAACTGTGCGCGGAAGAACACTCGGAAAGTGCTTGGTAACGGGTTCGCAAATAACTTTTTAATTATATATTTTGCGAGCGTACCGGCACGCGATACAGACCGATAACTATGCTCTTGAATGCGCGCGAGTGTATTCGTTATGGGGGACAAACTGTGCGAGTTTTACCATCATAAAAATCTTTTCGTCAACGCGAAAATATTTTATTATTTTCCCAGGGCCTCTCTTTCCATTCGGTACGCAAACGCGGCAGCGACGGCAGTTTGCGCTAATTAAAGGATTTTTTAATTAAAGCCACTCGCGATTTTTGCGTACGTACGTTGAGCACTGAAAGAATGAAAGGTGAAAGACACTGAAAAATGTAATTTCGCAACCTTCTCCAACAGATTGTCGGGTATTTTACTATGAATGTTTAGCGGCGAGTGATAATCAATGACTGGAATCTCGATTCATTTATTAATTTTCATTGATTTGTTTTAAAGAATATTTTAAATATGAAATTCATTTTATTTCTTTAATGACCATAATAAAAAACCGTGGAAAAAGAAATTCATGTTGGTATGCAGATTTATATATATATTATTATTAAATTGCAAGTACAATTAAAAGCGTACAGTAATTCGTTCATAAAAAATGTTATTTCAGCGCAAGAGACGGTTGTTATTAATTTTTTATTTGGGTCTACGCGAGATTTGCATTTTACGACGAGAAGAACCATCGCGACGTAATTCCCGATCGAACGGTATTTAATTTATTGGACGCACGGGATAAATCCCAGCTTATCCGATCGTAAATAATTTTTGTTTCGCATACCTCACGAAATCTACAGTGAATGTAGAAAATATTCGTAGCTCTGCAAAGTAAAATAACATTCTTGATAATGGCGTATACGATTTAATTTTTTTTTTGAGAAATCAGTGGGATTAATACTACATGATATATGAAAAACATACAATTGATCGATATATATCTTCAAATTATGATATAACAAAATTTAATTATAGACTCAGATGGAAAAGTTAGAAGTGTAATTTCTATGCCTTTGGCTAATGAGTTTGATGAATCGTAATTTTTTTTTATACGTCATAGAGTAGGCTGACCTCCTTAATTTGTCAAAAATATTCGGTCCAATATTAACGACGAATTTGGAACAATATTAAAAAATTGTTCTGTTTGAACAGAGTATACGAATACTTCCTATATTCTGTGTACCTTGTTTGATGCTTGGCCGCTTGTCTCCGATTCTGTGTAGTTATCAATGTCAACATTCCATTTTGGTAGGACAGATTTCTTTCACTAAATCCAGTCTACGTTCCTTTTTTTTAATGAATCGAAATGGGACCATACCTGTGACCGGTCGCTTTTCGGTCCAGTTGAAATCATTGTGCCATTGCTTGTATAAGGGAAGACAATTTGATTGAATCCCTAGTACTTACAGTGGGTATAAAAAGTATTTACACATCCTGGAAAATATTGATTTCATGATTCTCGCAGTTATTATTCAAATACACTAAATTTTCTATTTGTTATGGATTTAGAACGATAAATGTTTAATGTACTTAAAAAGAAATTATCAAACAACTTTTAATGAGTGATACTATAATGTGTGTAACTGTAAATACTTTTGATAGTCGCTGTGTGTACACAGAAAACGGACCTGTTTCATTCAGTTAATGATACAATGCAATATATAAAATGATTGACAACAATTTCAGCGGAACAATTCAACTCCTACGTAACGCTGAAGCTGCAAAATGTGAAGTCGACGACAGTCACGGTGAAAGGGGCCAATCCATGCTGGGAGCAAGATTTTCTTTTGTAAGTAAACGTTTGCAAATATATTTACATATAAAGAGTTTATCACGATAGAGAATTTCAGAAACATTTCTAAATGTAGGACATCGTTTATGATTTTATGGTCACAAAAACTTGGATCGTGTTTTCTCTTTTATAAGTTTCAAATAAAATTTAAAAAAAAAGTGATAGAAGTTCCGTTGTTAAATGATAATAAAATGTTTCTACATGCAGGTAATCTTTATTTGTTTGTAACCGTATGCTCTATGCTATTATAAAGTGTAGCGAACGTATAAAACGAAAGATAAAATAGAACGTAAAGCCAGTTCGTTTCGATTTAGATTTTACAATATCGAGTTCGAAATTCACGATTCAAAGTATACATTCTCTCTTGATTCCATGCTAGCTATGAACTTTTCCCAGTTCCCAATGGTAATGTCGAATGGACAACGTTGAATAAAAATGATAAAGTGGGAAGGGAAAGAAAGGGAGAGAAGAAAAGAGTAGGTGAGTGTGTGTGTGTGAGATGGAGAGAGTAAAAGAGAGAGAAATTGACGAGGTCCAGAGTCCAGAGTGTGCGCGTTATCGGGTTCTGCGTTCATTACTGAGTTTGCGTCCAAGCCTCGTGAAGCGTTGGAGTTTCGCGATCGACTATCGAACCCCCTTAAGAGGTAATCCGATCCATAGCTGATATATAAATAGGTGCTTAGCCAGCAAAATAGGATAGTCCCGTTCACGATAGCCGTGCGATTAGCTAATCGCGATTTGTGTTTCGCGCTTTTAATCCCACTTTTTTCTCTCAACTTCCTCTTTTTCCATCGCCTTTTTTTATTCCTTTTTATTCCTCCGATATTTTCCGCATTCGAATATTGATTTCTCTCGCTTCGACAAAAGAGTCGACCGGCGTTTTTTTTCCGTACACGTCATCGTATAATTGTTATATTTGTAGTATGCTTTGGGACATTTCGTTCGCGCCTTTTCACCAACGAGATTTTGTCACACCAGGCACTATCATCGTCAGTACGTGGATGCCCTAGAACGTGTCATGAAATATAATTTCGACTTATGTATTATGTAGAAAGAGGAAGATGGTGGATGTAATATTCAATTATTTGCGGCTATTCTTTATTATTAGCCCGGTTTTTATAATTCTCCTCTCTCCAGCATCCGCTTTATTCACGGGCAAGTTGGCTCCTTCAATGAAAGTTCGCGCGACGACGGGACTTTATATTCTCACTATTAATAAAAGGGCTCCATGTAAATTCATTCAAAAAAGTTCTGCTCGATACGTCATACCTAACGACGCCGATGAGAAGTTGAAAACAATTGGACGCGTTCTCATACCTCGGAAATGAAAATTGGATAAGTTTCATAGAAAACAAAATCCTAAAAATTCTTGTCACTTGCACGCGAAGTTACACAAAGTCCGACAAAAGAAATCGTTCTGTCGGGGAATAAGATTGATAGTCCAGCCGGCGGATAATAATTATGGAAATTCCGAATATATTATAGAACGACGACGACAAACGGTGTCGGTTTAGATAGAGAATTTTTAACGTGAAATCTTTTGCTTGAGTCCAACCAGAAATCCATTGTTTGTGAAGAAAGCTCGCGGCTATTTTTCGTATGAGTATTTTTCGTTGTACGAGTCTTTACGTCTAGGTTTGCAAAGGTGAATCGAGAGATCCATCAAGTTGTGCCAAGTTATGTAACGTTATAATCATGATACTCTGCTTATTTATGATTTTAAACGAATTTTCTTCGTGTCAACATGATCGTGACACTTCCAGTGATATTTAGGTCTTCCGAATCATTTGAGTATTAATAAAGTGACCTCGAGAAAGAATCTTTGAAATTTATATCTTTGTTGACGTAGAAAACGCAAAGGAGGACAATTGTCTAAATCGTGAATGACAGAAAATACGACAATTTTTGATCTTCGCTTCCGAAAATATTCTGACCGGCACCACTAAAACCCTTCAGTCGCCAAGTTGCGAACCTTTAACCTAGTTTTCCTCCGACGCCCACTTATTTGTGCCTGGGTCGCGTTTAAATCGTATTTATTTAACCTATGACGAAATAACCGGCCAAAAATAAGAAGCTACGTGGATGCACAGATCGGTTTCCCTCCCGATTCAGAATATCTTATCAATTACTAATGCTCTATTACGAAATGCCTATTCATGTTTATTATCGATTTACAGGATGAGAGGAGAGTAAAAGAATTGGCTAATTAAATTATTCATTCCGAATATTCGAGTACATTTTTTTTTAAATTATGTATTTTTAAAAATGTTCTTTCGTCTAGATTTACTCAATTCGACACCATTTTCGTCAGAAGTATAATGTTCAGTTTTACAGAAATATAACGGACTAGATATAAACTGAGAGCAAAGACACAGTTTTAAATAAAAGAGAGCAGAAAAAACCGGTGGAATTGTTGGATCGTGATTCGAATTCGAATACCTCTATTTGTCAGACTACTATTTCAACTAATTAAGTTTACTTTAATCAGTCAGCGAATTGTTCCCTCCTAAGTCTAATCTTTAAACTACCCTCCGACTAGAATACTTAATTGCATCGGTGACTGAATACAATTGGAAATCAATACAAGTTTTATTCTTCTTCATTCATACATCTGCGTTACAAAATGTTTAATCAACTGTTAATCGTATCATAAATGATAATTTCTGATCTTACATAAAATTTTTGTTGATCTCACATATCTGGCCAATTAAAAAAACTGTTGTTATGTGAAGGATTTGGGAATTTTATGAAAATTGTATATGTATAATATCTATTCAAAGTCAAGGGTTGTTCATGATTAATTTATTGACCATGTTAAGATAAAGTAAGTTGAATGTGAAATTTCTTTGTAATTGCAGCGAGACGAATGATATGAACACAGGCCTTCTGGTCGAAGTCTGGTGCAAGGGTTTCCTGTGGGATCGTTTCTTGGGCTACTATTACGTCCCATTGTCCGAAGTATCTTACATGAATGAGGTAACGTCTAAGCAGTCCTATAATACATCCACCGACACGGTATCGGCAGGGAAACAAGAGCAACAACACATATCCTCTGACAGCATGCCCGACACGAACAGCAATGCACAGCCACTACCAGACATCACCAACACGGTACACTAATTGATACATGCAGCTAGACTAGACTTTGCTGTCTTAGCTAGCGCACTGTTGTAGATTCTGTAGATTAATTCCTAAACATGCATGCCAACCAGTTGTCATATTTCTAAACGTTCCCGCAGTAAAATCACGATTACACTCCCATCGTGCGCTGGGCGTGCTCCACATTATTTGGAGATCGATTAGAAGCTGTGTATGCACATATATTATTAATCACAATTATTCGGTCATTTCATATAAAACGTAATTATACGAGATTTCATGAATGTGATACAAAATTATAAAAGTATCAGACATTCTTACGATCGATAAGATTTATACATTAAGAACTTTCCTGAATTCTTCTTGATCGTTGGTACGAATTTGGA